GGCCGTCGTCGAAGCCGGTACATATTCGCCGGATCGTGGTCCACGTGAGAGCTCCGCTTTTTCTGCGACTTCTTCCCGGCCGCGTACACGTTTTACTTGTCTCGATCTCTCGATACCGTAACCTCTCGGGGGTTCGGCTTCGTTCGTCTCATCGACTGGACCCGGTGCGTGGACCTCGGACCGTTCGTTCGTTCGTTTCTCTTTCTTTTCATTTCTCTTCTTTTTTTCTTTATTCTCCTTCCCGATTTCGCGTGACGCGCGCTTCGTTCCCGACCAAGTGGCCTGGTCGATCCACCCGTCGATCGACGTTTCGGGCCCCAATGAATCTTTCATCTCGACCCTCTCGTTAAGGCGTCGACGAGATCTTCCGGCTCGCGAACGACTTTTGCCGTCGCGACGGCCGAACGTGGACACCGCGACACACCGGTGAAAATCGTGGATGGGCTCCGGGGAATGCGCGCAAGAACCCGGTGAGCCTGGAACGAGATTTCGTAGATCCGCGGACTCCTTTCTCGGCGCTCGTAAAAAAACTAGCATAATTTACGACCCGCGACGGCCGAGAACCGTGATCTCGAGTCGGTGGTCCGCGAACGCCGAAAATATCGCGGAGCTTTTAACAGGAGCCAGTGATCGTCGCGACGACGATTGGACTGAATGTTTATGGATTAGTTTTGTGAAGTGATGAGCTAGTGACATTGTTTCTTTGGACCGTCTCGTAAGAATCGATTCGATTCTGTTGTTATTCTATACGCTGGAAGTAATGAACTTGTCAACGTCCGTGCTGCATTCAAGAAATCAATAATTTTTCTTCTTTACAAACTTAGCTACCATAATTTTACTGTGAGACGATGGTCTATTAAGTATACAAAAGGAGTCATTGCTAACTGCGTTGTACTGCAAGCGACGAATGGTAAACGCAAACGTCAATAATAGTGAACGTGAATTCAACATGAGAAAGACGTCATCGGCATTGAATGCGTTAAACGATAATCCTAAAAAAACTATTACACCGTCATTCTCAAGATGACTGGATGCGCAATTGCGTCCGCTACAACTATAAAAAGATCAACTAAGAAGTCTATAACTTACTGAAAGACTCAAACAACAACTAATAATTGCTGCCAAGATTACGTAAAAAGTCAGACTAACTTAATACAGATTTTAATATTCATCGCATCAGCAATTCTACATTCCACCTCGCAGCTCGCAAAACAGGAAAATATTGAACAAAACATCGCTCCAGAAAGATACTACCAACAAATGCTAAAGCCCAACGTCTCTATCAACCAATCAAGCTCAAACTCCCCAAATGCTACATCCTCGCGAGTCCCGCTAGATCCAGCGAGATATCTCACAAGGTCTAACACCTTTGACATGTCAGCGCGATGACAGACGCGCGTAGGAACGAGAGCCGGTCCTTCCGATGAGCATGGGGTAGAAATGCACCTCGGAAGGTCAATCTGGACTCGGGGCGTGTTGGCCCTCGGAGTAGGGGCCGTGTTCCTACTGGGATGGAGGATCGACCTGGATGGCGGCGAGTCGTCTGGCCCGCTCGCTGGCGACTCGATCCCGAGCACGGACAACGTCTACTTCGTGTCTTCCCCTTCACTGCGGGCCCTGGACAGCCGGAAGGGAAAAGATCAGCAGCCGAATGGCGAGCCAATGACAGACAAGACACGAAATCGACGCGTTGACCGGAATGCCAAACTCGACGCTGCCCCAGGGACGAGTTATTCCGACATTCGACTATCGACGTCGAAGCAGGTTAATAGTTTAGAGAATTATCGCGGAGCTGGGCGTGGTATAGGACAGGCTGCAAGTGGTGCAGCTTCTCGCAGCGAGCCGGATAATGAACAGGTGTTAAAAATTAAGCAGATGCGTGAAAATGAACTTTTGAACGAAGACAGTCGACTCGGTATTGACTCAGTCCTAAATAAGGAGAGTGTCTACCTCGTGTCTGAATCTTCATTATCAACCCAGAGCAGGAAGGAAGATCACCTACCGAATGATGGGTCAGAAATAGAGGACACGCGGAATCCCGCGAAGAGCGATCATTCGCGACGCGTCGACCGGAGTGTTGAACCCGACGCTATCCCAGGAACGAGTTATTCGGACATTCGGCTTCCCACATCGGAACAGGTTAACATTTTAAAGGATTATCGCGAAGCTGGACGTAGGTTAGGACAGGGAGCAAGTGACCTAGCGTCGCGCGGCGAACCGGATGATGAAGAAACTATTACGGTGCTCGGGAGCGGAAGGACGCGTGAAAATGAATTTTTGAATGAGGACGAGGAGACTCGGGGAACGTTGAATGACTCCGCAGCCGGTGAAAGGAGTGACGTGAAACTGAATTTCTCGCGGCGAGTGAATGGGGATTCTATGAATGAAGTCGGGATGAGCCCGGCGAGCGACCGCTCCAGGGATCGCGGTTTTTCGGTTCTTGTGAATGGGGATGAGGACAGGGTCGAGGAAAGCGGAGAAGTCGATGATGCAAGGACAGGATATTTGCATTCTTTAAATAATAATGTGAGGGTAGAGGAAGACGCAGGACACAGTGACAGGACAGATGTGTTTCATTTAGCATCTCGAAGTTTGATTGATCATGACGTCGCGCTGGTGAAGAATGATGAACAACGGTCTAATGAAGAATCTGGTTCAAACAGACACAGTGAACTAGTTAACGAAAATAATCAAAGAAGTTTGAATCTAGGCACTTTCAAGAAGGTTATTAACCAGTTTCAAAATGATGACAACTCTCTATACAAAGTCAAAGTTTCCAAAAAGGAAAAACACGAAGGAAGCTCAAACGAAAAGGAGGACGGGTCGATGCAAAAATTACCTCTCCGGGTGAGGGCAAGGTTCATGCAGCGTCTCACCGGAATGCGAAAGAACCGAGATCTTTTTTTTCGCCGGGACCAAGGACCAATTCGGTCTTCCGCAAAGATGGTGGAAAGAGGAACACGTGGGATTGCGTCCCCTGACAAATCACGCAGCACTGCGATCGCTTCTTTGAATCTTCGCGCAAATCATGAAGATAACAATGAACACCTAACGTCTGGTTCTATAAATCGTGTACGCGAAGTGGGTACGTCGTCGTCGTTGGTGGTTTCCAAGATTCACGGAGGAGTCGAAAGAGATCGATTGAGAGTTTCAACCGCGGCGATGGACGGTAAAAACGAAGTGATGCGAACGGACGGAGGATTTGATTCGCGGAACGCGTCTTCGAGCATTCGAGGGACAAGCGGTGGCACACGTGCGACGGATGCGAAATCGGACAATCACAAATCGTCCTTATTCCCTTATGGAGGAGGTGACTCGCGGCGCGACGAGGGAATCGGCGTTCGCCGAAAGAGATACACGAATTATTATTCGCCGCAGTCCGTCACCCCCATGGCGTACGTTCACATACAGCCCGCGTATCCGGTGCCAGCGCCTCCACCCGCGAACCGGAAATGCGTACGGTGCATGGTCGTATACAAACCGTGTCCACCACCGTCAAGACCGCCACCGAGGATTGTTCATCCGAATTACAGGTACCAGGACGTTGCTATGAAGTGGCATGGGCTCAAATACGGTGAGTCAACGAAATGTACACTAAATGTACACATAATATAATATACTCCCTCCGTTTGAAAGTATAAACAATTTTAATGAAAATTAAAACTACCGAGCAGTTCAATTGACTTTTTGAAATTCCTTTATAGACACTCAAAGAGTGCATCTACTGAGACTTTGATTGATTTACGATTCAGTTTGCGTATTGCTAAATCAATTTCCTTAATCATTTTTCAGAGGAACATCTGTTTTCTTTTTAATAATTGTAAAAAAGAAGACATCAGAAATGGGTCATTTCGACCCGTCTGGTATTTTTAGTGTTAATTAGAATGATTTTATATATGAAATAGTTATAAATATCTAGTAGAACAGAAAATAATGCAAAAAGTTTTAATTTAATAAAGACGCGGCTGACTGCACAGTTTCTACATATGATCACATTATGATGTTTGTAATCGTCCCTTACGATGAAGTTTTACCTTATTAATATGCGGAATCTTATACGCTGATTAAGTGTCAGTTGCTTTGATTTGGAACCGCTTTCTTTCAATTCAATAGAATTTTGATAAAAATTCGCCATTTTGTAAGAACAGTGGGTGTCACTTTAATTTGTTTAAAATACGCAGTTTCTTTTCTGTCGATTACCTTTGACACATGCAAAAGTATTTCCGCGCTATTTGATTATTAATTGCCTAGCAGCCATTTATTTAGAAATACAAACAAAAAAGATTAAGATAATATTACTTTCATTAATCCCACATTTTTAAAGAAATGTATACTATATTTCGGGCGGAGGGAGTATATTCTGGCGATTTCAAAATTGTCGCGGACTAGTGCAAATTGAGGCTCGAAAAGTTTAATAGAAATGTAATTTGTTTTTTCCATTTTTTGGTGTTAATACATTTCTTACCATTTAAAAATGTGTTTATTATTTTACGAAGTAAAGGGAGGTGCTAAGATTAGATTTTTGTTGAAGGTAACATAATGTTTGGAAATCACTGATTTGTCTGTTAAAAGCGTGTTTAAGATTAGTAATAGAAGAGTTTTGTTTTTAGTTTCATAATCCAGACATGAGGTAGACCGAAGCAAATCGGATCATTTTCTGTTTGATAAGTAAACATACTTGAACATTCATAATAAGAAATAACAAAAGACTTTTAAATCTTTCTTTCACCTATAAGAAGTGGAAAGTGAGAAATATAATTTGTGACGTAACAAATGTAGACTTATAATCCCATTCGTTTTACCTGGCCCTACATGTTTTATCTTTACGACTGAAATGCAATTGGATTAATAGGTAGTTCAGTAGCTTATAGCACTGATAATTGCTTAGTACTCTCGATATATTCTGTGGACTACTTTAACCGCCTTCGATGCATTTCTTGCGTTAATTGTTTAAGATTTAATATTCGCTTCCTACGAAGTTTCTGCTTCATATAAACCTACGCGTTCTCAATAGAAATTGCGTCAGATGACTGTGACAGCTACTACAACTGGTTAATGTTGATCTCGTTGCACTATTTTGGATCACTATCCTTTTAATTATTAATCCAACTATACTTTAGTCGTACATATAAAAAATATTAACACTAAGTTTACAAAACGCGTCAATTTGACGCATATTGAATTTTATAAACATTATTTGGTAAATGTTTATGTCGTTTTTGATGGTTGCAATTATGCGAATATATATCCTAATAGCGTATTTTCAAATCTTTAATTTCCAAGATCTAAACGAAGGTATACATTTTTCTAGAAACAATAGAATAAATCCTACAATAAACGTGCGTAAACCTATTTCTGAAGGCTAATGGATTAGGTATACTTCAGAGAAAGTATTATATGTACTATTTTGTGACAAACATATTTTTAAGATTTTCGTGTTTCATATCATTAATTTTTGTAACAAACAAAATATATTTGACTAGAAAGAAAGATATTCTTGAAGAAGTATAATTTTAGAAATCCTTGAAAGAAAAAATCTTTTTATGATTCAACGTTATCTCTGCGTGACAGCCTAATAAACGTAAGGAACTTTTGTCGGACAATATCTGCGATTCTAAAAATACCTGCTTTAAATTTTATTCGAATACAAAAAAAGGAATTTCCTAAGGTGTATGAATAAAGCTAGTTCCACGCGATGTAGAGGATGTTTTATGTTTTAATTTAGAAGAAAAATGTAAGTTTGAACTGCAACTTTTGAAAAAAATATAATTGATTTATAAAAGAACGTTTATAAAGAAAGGTATAGAAATTAATGTGCAAAATTTCATTCCGTCTAGTTAATTTTTATCATGAAGTGCAATGTGCATCGGTTTAAGGAATGTAGTTTCAGAAAACAGAGTTCAAGATTTCAGATACTATTAGTTAATTTTACTGTATTACAACTACAAAAGGTAATTAATGAAAATAATGAACACCACGTTTATTACAATATTTCATTTTTAAGAACAATTCCATTCCCATTGTTTTTCGTTAATTCTCGTTTCTTCAAAACAAAGCAGCTATTAATGACTACGAACAATACTATGCAAACAATAAACTCCTAATTCCTGAAATAAAAAGATTTTTAAATGTATAAATTCAAACACATTTGTTTTATCATTTAATAATTCATTGAAGTGCGAATATATTTCATTAATTCACATCGAAGTGTTTAATTCATTCATTATATTTCGTAGCCAATAACGTCAGACAAAATCCGCTTATAAGCATTTCACATACAAAAACAAATCCAGATTCAACTTTGTCATTTAGTCTAACAGCAATTTTCCAATTACATATAATTGGAAATTAATGTAAGATTTTTATGATATTACATTCGAATTATATATAATTGTATATTTATATAATACCCTGGCCATGTTAGGAAAATTACATGTATCGTATTACTCAAGAAACTTTGTAAACAGGATTTGATTACGGTTTTTCTGTGTTCAATGGGTTTGCGAAATCCGTTGAGCGTATAAAACACCGCTAAAGTATCCTTTAACGCTGATTGCAATTTATAGCCGAGCGGTTTATTCCTAGAAAAAGCACGTCGACGTAACATCGCTCGGTTAATGAGCCGCATCCGAGGCTCCTCAACTTCTCCGTGGAGGTCGTAGGTCGAATCTTCGATCGACCTAACGCGACACGGCATAAAGTTCAACCGTCGAACAAAACTTCTTGTTTATCTACCTATCATCAAGTCTGTGATAGATGCACCATTTTTACTTCAACCTTCTAGAAAGACGTATAATTACAAAATAATAGAAGCATGCGATAAAAATCTGTAAAATATCGTGTATAAACAGTATTTCCTGTAATCAGTGACGATCATGATGCGTTAATGCGATCTCTAAAAATCAATGATATCATAGGAGAACGGGTTTGAACGCAACAGTCCTTATCCTGTTTAATCGTAATGGCTACTGTCATTTTCTATGTAATAATCTCGAGTTTCTCTCAATCAACCTCTCAATTATACTTTTCTATATATATTTCATTTACGAAATCATCTAACGTGAAATAGAATTTTGAAGATAGGAAACTCGGAAGAAAATAAGTATATAATTAGTGGACAATAATTGTGTACCCTATAATACCGAAAAGATTGTAAAAGAAACAATATTTAACAAGTATTATACGTGACATAATCAACACAGAATTCCACGAAATTTTGTATCAAAATATCGGATGTAATTTTGAAATCAAGTGTTTATTTGTGACAAAGATTTTCCTGTGATAAGTTTGTATGTATTTCAAATGCAAATTTTTATTGACTAGATTAGAAGATTTGTTGTTATAAAGAAATATTAATAACAACAATAATATTAAATCTAAACATAAGAAGCTCAATTTAATATATAATATGTTAAAACTAGCAATAGCACGGACACCTTCCTTTTAGAAGTTATAAATTTCATTTACTATTTAATTTTCATCCTTTACTCAGTGTAACAAATAATCAGTATACATAGAATATTTATTAGTAAGAAATATTAATATTATATCAACATCTAATAATACATCTATATACTAAGTATATCATCGAAATGCAAGTAATATAATCATTATAATATAAATAACTAATTTAACGCAATAATTTAATGAAATCAAAAATACACGAACATATAATAGTGTAATAATTTTCGTCCACAAATGTGATGAAACATAATTATTAGAAATACTGAAATTCATTGAAGTCATTAATATTTATTAATTATATTCAATGGAAAAATACGCTGATAACAAGCATTCAAGGTGAAGTAGATAAATCAGCGTATCGACGAGGCGAATCGTTCAAGCTGAAGTGGAAAGAACGTTTCCGTGCAAGACATTTGCGTAGGCAGGCGAAACGAGTCATTGAAAAACAACGGAGAAACTAAAAATATCGACATATCAACGATGCCCTGGCGAAAGTTCGTGACGCAATGATTTTTATTTCGAATAGGAATGGGATTAAGAGAATCGCGAGCAGTTTCGAAAGTTTCCGAATAATTCAATAAATACATTACATGGCCTGGAATGTAATATTGAAATGAAAAAATTAAAGATAACAATTCTATTATTCTAAACAGTTAATTAATTATTCTATATTAATATCGTACAATTATTAATTTACTTCAGCATAGAGGTTGGTCCACTGAATCAAACTATTATCTCAAAGTAATAGGATATATAAAAAGTAAAGAAAAAAGAAATATATATATATATATTTTTAATTCAAATAAAATAAAATATTTACAATTCACTACTTACATTACGCAACAAAACAAATTCATAATTGATATTTTGAAATTCAAGATCAGCCAAACTATCTCTAAACAAAATTATGTATTTTTAAATCATAATTGACACATTCTCAAATTTTTTATGGAACTGGAGTATTTAGATACTTGTATCGAATACTGATGAATTAATTTAAAAAAATATATTATCTTCAACACTGCTTGTCGACGTGTAAACGTCTAAATGCATTCATTTACGTATGCACTCACTTACAGTGAAATACAATAGTTCAAGCGGTCGTTTCTT